GGCGCCGTCTCCTCTCCTCTGCGCGCCCCGCAGTGTCTCCAGCTCCTGGTTGCCGCATCCTTTTTCTTCGTGCCTTTCTCTCTCCTCACCCACCTCTTCTGCCTTCGGGCCGCGGGTTTCTGCTCCTTCCCCGCGGCCTCCGCTTCTTCCAGCCGGCCTCCTCTGTTTCTCTCCATGCGCTGCCCTGCACTTCTTTAGGTGGTTTTTCACGGAGCTTAGAGTTTGTTATTTTTTTTATCTTTGGTAGGCCTCTGCTGGCCTGCCTTTCTGGCTGGAAGCTCTTCTGTCTTGGTCTCTGCTTCCTCCGTGGGCCTCCACCGCTCCCCAAAAGTTTTGGCCCTGCGGCCTCCTGTCCCTTTTTATTTTCTCTCTCTGCCATTAATGTTTTGTTTCTTTTGGCTCTGCATGCTCTCCAGTTTCCTTTTATGCACTTATTTCTAGCTCAGTGATCTCTTAGCTTTTCATTGCTCTGTCTTCCACGAAGCCTTCTTTTTCCCAACTTTTTTGCTTCCATGCCTCTTGCTGATCTCTGCATGCCTTTGTGTCTGGATTAGATTTGTACCAAAAGATGAGGAGGTTAGGGTTTTTAAGGTTACAGAGATTTTTCTCTGGGAGAGGGAGGTGACTAACCGGTGCAGCTTTAGATGGAGCAGTGTTAAACAGTCTTATGATAACTCTGAGATGCACGTAAAAGCAAGATGGAGGTGCTTGCCTCCTGAACTTTCAAACCTCTCAATACTGAGTTTTTCAGGACTAAAAACTGTTAGGAGAGTGATGGAGCCTGAAGACCCACTCATGCTTAGTTGTACATATTTGAGAAGATGAGTTAGATTTTCATGGGCTAACATTTGTTTTTCTAAGCTGTTTTATTTTGCTACGGAGGAATTAAGGATACTGTAACTTGTACTGTTACAGTGATTCTTAGTGCATGACAGATTAACAGTGTTTTGTAATGACTAATCCTAAAAAAAAAAAAAAATCCTCCTTAAGGTATTATTTCCTTGTGTGAAAGCTTCATACAGTCTGTATCATTTTCTCAATATAATTGCCTAGACAAGGAATGCACAAGTAGTTCAGCTTACAGTATCACTGTATATTCCTTTGTATATCTAAAAAGCAAGGCATTGTAGGTTATTCACTGATAAGTACCCATCAGTCAACTTAAAAGATGACATAGGATAATGAAGTTCTAGTTCTGGTGGTAATCTTAAGCTACTAACTTTCTTTGTTCTTTTACTCTATACTTCGTTTATTGCTTATATTTCTTGGGGGGGGCAATCAAAATTAATTTGTTGTTCAGATTTTCAACACCATTGAAGCTTCACATGCTGTAAAGTGCTAGATTATTTCAATGTTTTTTGTGCAATTCTTTAAATTTAAAAATTATTGTGTTGGCTTTTTTAATATTTTATGTGGTATTTTTAAATCTAATGTAGTATTTTTATAACATGTTCTTAATTTTTAAACTGATATTTAAGTTGAAAAGAGCAGAATTGGCAAATCAAATAAATGGAATTACCCTGAAGTAAACCTTAGACGAGTCTAACTGAACTTGTTTTGCTTTTTTTTTTTTTTTTATCCCCCCCCCACTTTCCTGTATACAGAGGCCTAAAGGACAGGGAAATAAAGGTAAGTTGATTCCTTGTACTTCTGTATAAATGTCTAATATTGCTATTTATTGAGGTTAATGTGTCTTCAGGCAGTCGTAGGAAGACAATGCAGCAATAGGATGTCTTTTATTTCAGAGCAAGATGACAGGAAATTGTGTACCAAAATGTTATTTCCCAGCATTTTTACTGTGGCACAGTGGTACATCAATTTAAAACGTCTTATTTTGCAAATGAAGATTAATGTCTGAAGTCAGGTGATAACATAGCTATTTCTTTTTAGCTGACTTTGTGATATGCTTGTATAATCTCTTCAACAGTACACCTTGGGCCTTTCTGTGCAGTGAATAGAATCAGTGTACTAGAATCATCAGGAAGAATCTTTTGAACAGCTTCCTTAGCTTGCGAGACAACAGCCATGTGACTATTTAGTTACTCATATCTGTGAGCATAACACATCACCTTCCTTATTCTCAGAAATTTTGTGGGCTTTTCTCTTTATTTTAGCATCACTATAGAATATTCTTCCAGTGTTTGTAGGCCGCCTGCTTTTCTACTTTTTTCATGTTTCTGTCAACATCTTAAATACCATACTCAGTGGGGTTTCTTCTCTCCCACAGAAACAAGGAACTAAGTACTTAATATTCTTCTCTCTAAAATTCTTGGCAAGTCTGTCGTAAACAGCATCTCAGATTATATCTTGCAATTTATTTCTGGTCTGGAATTTATCTTTGATATAGAGACTAATATTCTATTTGGGAATTCTTTTTACCTAATCGGCACACTTGTGCCCATTTAATTCTTAGGTGCTCAGCAAGCTGAGCTATAGAACAGCATGCACACAGCTACCTTCATGTGTTAATATGCTTATTATTTTTTCATGCAGATAAGAGACTTTTTTTTTTTTTTGGACCTCATGTACTCTTTGCTCCCCCCCCCCTTGCCCCGTTCATTATCTGAACTAATCTAATTTTCTCTGTGAACTGTCATTTAATGTTATCCGCAGCATACTTATTCTGTTATTCTGTCTATGTGCAGATTATCTGCTTCTTATTACATGTGTCACTTACAAGGTGGCACGTGGTTCCTGAATCTTCCTGAATTTGGTCCGTTCCTTTTAATTTCTCTGCATTCAGAGAAAAATGAACTTGTCTTTACCTCCTCAGACCTTCTCAGTTTGGTCATTCTTGAATACTTGTTCTCTCATATTCTAATACTTCTACCTTTTTGTCTCCAAACTGGAGCTTTTAACTATTTCTTTGAGTCTTTGAAATAGTTTGTCTTTATACTTTCCATTTTGCCCTTAAAGAAGAAAAGTCAGATTCACTTTAGCAAGTAGTTTTTGGCCTCATGTTCTTTGAATTACCGTATCTCAGTTTTAGCGAGATTGATTCTCTAATAGATGCATCTCAATATACAAGTAGTTTTTGAACTATGCTCCATATATATGAAATGAAGTGGAATTATTAAGCATTTCTATGTGGGTGTTATGTTGCAGCTTGTTGAATAGTGAAAATATGAGAGTCAGCTTTAACTTGTATAATTTCTAAATAGTGGAGAATGTTTGAATCAAAACGCACCTCTTAGTTTGCTATGTAAGGAAGAGATTTTTGCATTCCCGAACTTAGATTTTTATGGGGTGCATCCTTTTAAATAATGGATACTTACTATGTATTCTTGTGGTGAGAATATGACCTAAATGAAAACCATAGTGAAATAAAACAATAATCTCCTCCATTCTGTTAAATTATTTGGTATAATGTCAATTTAATGAAACTAAGTTATGATTCGGCATTAGATTCAAGGGCTAGGAGACTGAAGATGGTAGCACAAGTAGTTGGTTTTGGGTTAGAGACTTTTTCAAGAGGATAAATTAAGTCAGTGTCAGCAATCCTTACTGACCACGTGTTAGCAGACAGTAATCTTTTTCAGATGTCATGATAGGTCCCAGCTTAAAGGAGCTTCGAGGGAAGATGTGGTACTGAATTAATAGACTAATCTGAAGTTGGTTCTGTGCATAAGAGTAACAACATTGAAGAGGGTGGTAAAAAGGTTCACAGGTCTGCTAGAGCATATGCAAGAATGTGAGTGAGCAGTATAAGGGGTGTATGCATGGAAATAAGAGTATTTTTCATATCGAAACAAAAGATATTAGACCCACAAATCATATTGGGAGGTAGCTGATTTGTATTGTCCAGTAAAATGGTTTTGATGCTTTATTGCAATTCATTATAAATCGGTGTACCCTGCTGTTTCCCTTGCCCAGAATTCGTGGGATTGAAGTTCTAGTGTGTAGAACAGTACTATTCATCTGTTGTGTTGGATATTAGTGTTGGTATTTCAGGGACTTGAATAAGTAAATTGTCCTGTCTTGAAAGTTTTCTTATTCCAATTGTCAACTACTGTACAGTTGACATAAAACATCAGAAATGGCATCAGTCAAATGATGTCTTACAGGGTGGTGCTGGTGAGAGATTGGTATTCCTGAAACTCCTTTTATTTCCCTTTTGTTTGTTGTGCCAGCGTATCACACCTGTGATAGGAAAGTGCTGACTTGTGTTTACATATATATGTATGTATTTCTTGCTTTTGTAGAAGGTTTAAATGTAAGCATTAGGTTTAAAACAAGAATGAAAGGTTACGTGTTTCTTTTAGTATTTATTCTCCACATTAATCAAGGTGTAATGGCTTTTTCTAATTAAAAAATTATTATTATGCCTTTGGCCATTATTTGTGCATTTTGCAAGTGGTTATTCAAAGGACAGTAGAAGTTAAAAGAACATAAGCTTTTAAGTTCCTTTATATGATGAGTTATTTCTTTCCAATATCGAATTACATTGTATGTTTTCACAGTGTTTGCGGAAGTGCACGGTATTTTCAGGGTTGGATTGATACAGATATTTTTAGTAACTGTAGATTAGTTTTAATTAGCATTCTTCATCACTGCCCTGTTTAGTTGGAACACTTAATGTGAGATTTTGGGAGTGAGGCATGCATCTTAATCTGTTTGCTCATGTTAAATCTGTGTGTGGGGGCTACATTCTTCATTATTAACATGTTACGTAAAGTTAGAATAAAAAGCCAAAGAAACACACTTCTAGTGATGCTATTTAATTGGAAAATGTATTAATTTACTAGGAAAGATGTTGGTGTAGGACTACTTTGTGTTGCTGACTTAAGATCTCAATACAGCATGAGTAAGAAAGGAAAATACATTTACAATTTATTCTGTTAGTTGTAATGGCAGACCAAAAATAATTCTGTCTTCAGTGACCTTTAGATACCTCTGAAACAATAAACACAGCAGATGCACGTTTTATGAAGATTAGCTGTCAGTATGAGGAGATTAATTTTGATAGGATTCTAGTCCTGACATGCAGCTGTTTATTCCTTTATTTGTGGTTGCATGCTTTTAAGAAACTTGTATGCTGCTGTCTATGTTTTTCAGTATAAAATAATTGTATATGAGACTTGTGCTCTCCATACTATTTGGTTAAGCCTAAGCAATGGATGTGGCATGGACAAAGATTTTGAGGCTCATCCCCTGTGTGACTGGGCCAAACATGGAGAGGAATATAGTGTTCCAGCTCATTAATGTTACCATTGTGTGTAAATTCAGGATGATTAATGACCTAACTGAAACGCGTTACTTATGGAAAAAACCAAACGACAAATGACCTAACGTTAATTTAATTTGGTATTTAATTAGAAATATTGTTCTATCAAGTTTTGAAACCCATTGTGCTCACCATTGCTGGTCATACTTGGTGTAGCTAGTATACAAAAGTACTGTGCCAGTTTGTAACAACTGAAGTGTCAAGTGTTCTGAGTTCTAAAACTCCAAGAAGATATTGAAAACATGAGTTGCTTTCTTCCTTCCCAGATATTTGCTTTGGAAAAAATCTTCTGTTGTTCTATGTTAAATTATGAATTTTTAGCTCTTTTTACTGCTGTCTGAAGTTAATAAATTTTTCCCAAATTTTGGTTATTCCTTGTGATTATATCTGTTCCTTTGTCATTTTTTTCAGCTAGTTTCATTCCCTGAAGGCAGTTCGTTTCAGAGATGTTAGTCAAATGTGAAAAAAATTGAAGTGACTTGGTCCAGACACCACTTGGTTTGCAATGTGAGCTTTGGGTGGCAATGCCCCCCCTGCTCCTCTGTGAAACAGAAAAAAACAACTCTTAGACAGTAACTCCAACAAAGCTGAAGCTTTAGTTACATGGTTGTATATGCTTTTCGGAAGCTTTTGCTAAAAGAGAGAAACCACGGGGTCAGCTCCTAACTCAGTGTTTCCAGCTGTCAGAGAATCTGCTGTTTTGTTGTAACTTCTGCTGTTGTGGTTTCTCAGCATACCTTACTGATCACTCTAGAACTTTTTTCCCACTGAACCTATTTGATAAATAATGAAAAAATTGCGTTCAGAAAAACCAGTAAATTATTTTTGAGAAGAGGTCTTCATCTTCAAGTTGTATAATTGCAAATTGCTGGTTTAAGTCTGTGTTCTGCTTTGCACCATGGGAAACAGTGGAACTTAGAAATTTGTGCAATTTGACTTTGTTTGAATAGTAGCCTGGGGGAGGGTGGAGAGACACTTCAAGTAATTTGGGCAGCTGGAAAATCCCAGGTAGGTGTAATGCTTTAGATGAAACTAAAGGTAGTAGGAGGCCAAGAAGAGCAGGTATGAAGAGATTCCAGTCTGTAGTGGCATATATGTTGGGAAAGGATTGTAATCACCCTTGGGGGCTTTAGCTCTTGTTTTTGGCTTGCTTTGTACCCTCTGAGCTTCAGAGATGCCACTAATGCAGCACAGTATAATGTTTACGTAGGAAACACAGAATGAAATAGTTGCATAGTGGTGCCCTTCATGGTTGTCTTGGTGGGTAATGACTTTCCTCCAGGCAGGAGAAAGCTGTATGTTGCAACTTTCCCTGAACCTATTGAATATATCAGATCTGGTTGGTCTGCACGTTTGCACTTGGTCTGGTACTTCTGGAAACGCTGGATTTACTGCCTGTGCAAATAAGGTGTGCCTATAGTTTTCCCCTGTGGAGCTTAGGAAAGAATAGTCAGGAGTAGTCTGCTCTGGTTGCCATCTTTCCAGACCTCTCCTGAGATCTGATCATGGTCATCAACAGAATGAGCTGTTCTCTTTAAATTTAACCAAGTGGTGCTTAACAGTAATATCTCCAGTCTTAACAAAGCACAAGTAGAAGTGTTTCAATGTACAGGTGATTAAGAAGTCTTATCTAGACTAAAAGTGTATGGTAGATCTTCCAGTGAGTATACCTAATACAGATTTACTTCTAGTTTCAGTACAAAACGGTTCGATTCATCAAAAGGATGCAGTAAATGATGATGATTTTGAGCCATATCTAAGTAGTCAGACAAATCAGGTAAGTGAACATTGTTTACTGTCTTGAAGTTAATTTTGGAGTTCAACTGACTTTCAGACTTAATTAATTTTTGGATGATATTTCTTAGCATTGCTTACTTGCCTGAATAGTGTATCTCATCTTATCATACGGTATCTTAAACAGGTAAAGTCTTCTTAATAATTCTGGAAAAGCTTCAGTTAAAAAGTATGCTCTGATGTCTCCTGCAACCTTATGTGCACAAGCTTGTGCACAAGACTTCAGAAAGATGAAGTTACAAGAAGATTGAGGAAAAAAACTCAGAAAAACAAAACACAACCCCAAACCAACACCTTAAATTTACAATGAAATCATAATGTATTGGATGCAGTTCAAAAAACCAGTTTCATTGGCTCTGAGAAAACATTAACTGCTTGGACCTGATTTCCTTTGAAGTTGATAAAGTAGCTCACAGTTGATTGCATGATAGATTGAAGCTTAATATTACTACAGCTTGGTATCACTCTCTTGCCAGGAAACTAATGACTTACTTTCAGAACTGTGAATTGTCTCTCTAGTCAGAAGTTAATATTCATTAAGTTAAGTTTGTATGTTGTTGGGGTCCTGAGAGAGGGAGAAAGTGCAAATTATTAAAAGGCTTTGAGAATTTTGCTTGCCTTCCCATTTTTTTCAAATAATACAACATTAAGTAGGCATCAGCTAGAGGATGATAATGTACAGTTTTTTTCCCCAAAACAACATCAGAAGTCATATGGGAGTAGTCCTTCAAATGTCTTGGAGCTTTATCTTCTGAAGAAGTAAATGCTGTGATTTCCCAGGAGTGTTGGGAGTGGAATTTGAATTTAGCTAGCAAACTTTGTTCTGCTAGACCACAGACTGTACTTAATGCCCATTGTCGATAGTGTGGAAAAGTTACAGTTTGATTGTTGCTCCTTGTGAAAGAGCATCCTTGTGAGAGAGGCATCCTTGTATCCTTTTCATTATACTGTTCTGGCAGGTGTTTCCAATTAGAAGTGAGAAATTGGACAAAAAAACCCTAAGAACACAAAAACTTTAAATCATAGTTGCAGCATTTTTTCTGTGTTTATGAAATTACAGTTGTTATGACTTGGTTTTTAAACTAGCTTGTTACTTTCTTAATAGTGTTGACATGGAGGCATTCTAAGCCTAGCTCAGTAACTGAAAATAAAGATAACCTATTACAAAAAATGGGGCTCTTTAGTGCTTAGATAAGGCTTCTTGAAGAAAAAATGGCCATATCTAACAGATACATTATTCATCTTTTATGTTGGGAGGAATGGTGGAAGTTAAAAATGCATTCAGATTATCCTTAAAAATGTTTTGGACTGTATTACAGTTTTTTGTGCCCTGAGCACAATTGTCTATATTGCTGATTTTTGTTTTATTTTCTTGCAGAGTAACAGCTATCCACCAATGTCAGACCCATATATGCCTAGTTATTATGCTCCATCCATTGGATTTCCATACTCTTTAGGCGAAGCAGCATGGTCAACTGCAGGTGACCCTCCAATGCCATACTTGACAACTTATGGACAAATGAGTAATGGTGAACACCATTACATACCTGATGGTGTATTTAGTCAACCTGGGGCATTAGGAAATACCCCTCCATTTCTCGGGCAGCATGGATTTAATTTTTTTCCTGGGAATGCAGACTTCTCTACATGGGGGACAAGTGGATCTCAGGGACAATCAACGCAAAGCTCTGCTTACAGCAGCAGCTATGGCTATCCACCTAGTTCTCTTGGGAGAGCCATAGCAGATGGACAGGCTGGATTTGGCAGTGATACTCTGAGCAAGGTGCCTGGGATTAACAGCATTGAGCAAGGCATGACTGGACTGAAAATTGGTGGAGATATGACGGCTGCTGTAACAAAAACTGTAGGTTCAGCTCTGAGCAGTACAGGTATGACAAGCATTGCAGCGAACAGTGTGCCCCCAGTTAGCAGTTCAGCACCTAAACCAACCTCATGGGCTGCCATTGCAAGGAAGCCTGCTAAACCTCAGCCGAAACTCAAGCCTAAAGGTAATGTGGGCATTGGGGGCCCTGCTGTGCCACCACCACCTATAAAACACAACATGAATATTGGAACTTGGGATGACAAAGGGTCAGTGGTAAAAGCACCCCCAGCCCAACCAGTACTGCCTCCTCAGACTATAATCCAGCAGCCTCAGCCATTAATTCAACCACCACCACTGGTGCAAAGCCAACTGCCTCAACAGCAGCCTCAGCCACAGCAACCACAGCAGCAACAAGGACCTCAGCAGCAGGCCCAGCCTCACCAGTTGCAGCAGCAACAGCTGCAAAACCGCTGGGTAGCTCCTCGTAATAGGGGTGTGGGCTTCAGCCAGAACAACGGAGCTGGTAGTGAGAACTTTGGTTTAGGTGTTGTATCCGTCAGCTCCTCACCTTCTGGTGTGGAAGTGCACCCAGTGCTGGAGAAACTAAAGGCCATAAACAACTACAATCCCAAAGACTTCGATTGGAATCTGAAGAATGGACGTGTGTTTATAATCAAAAGTTATTCAGAGGACGATATTCATCGCTCCATTAAGTACTCTATCTGGTGTAGTACTGAACATGGTAATAAGCGCTTGGATGCTGCTTACCGTTCCCTGAATGGAAAAGGCCCACTCTATTTACTCTTCAGTGTGAATGGCAGTGGACACTTCTGTGGAGTGGCTGAGATGAAGTCTGTTGTGGACTACAATGCATATGCTGGTGTCTGGTCTCAGGATAAGTGGAAGGGGAAGTTTGATGTCAAATGGATCTTTGTCAAAGACGTTCCCAATAACCAACTGCGGCATATTCGCTTGGAAAACAATGACAACAAACCGGTTACCAATTCGAGGGACACTCAAGAGGTACCCCTAGAAAAAGCCAAGCAAGTGCTTAAAATAATTGCTACTTTCAAGCATACCACCTCAATCTTTGATGACTTTGCACATTATGAGAAGCGTCAAGAGGAGGAGGAAGCCATGCGTAGGGTAAGAAATCAATGTCGTTATAGTAGCTCTCCTGTTTTTTCTGTTTTTGGAAACCTTGTTTTTCATACAACTGGAATTTCTGTATGCGAGTGTTGAATCAAGAAAGTGGTGCTTTTTACCCAGGGTGTCTGTACTTGATATAACTGGCTCTTAATGAAAAGGTTTAAGTTCTTGTAACTTGTTTTGTTAATACAGGCATGTGTTTAACCACAATACTAACATAGGCCTGCATAAGTGGACTTCTGATGTGTTCTACTCTTCAAAGTAAACAAAACCTGCATTAAGTGTATTTTCCGTAACTGAAGTCTTCTAGTTTAGATTTTTACTAAAATGTGACTAAAAGGACCTGAAATCACAGGAGAAGCTTACTTTATTTAACCCATTTCAGTTCCAATTCTGCTTTAATGAAACAATAACAGCATGATTACTGTGAAAAGCACATTTCCCCCTTCATTCAGTATGTCTTTGGTACGATTGTGAAACACAGAAGTGATACAATGATGACTTTTACAGTATCAGAATAATTTTTTGGACATTTCTCATAGTGCATTTCCTAAAAAAAATAATGTGTGACTTATTTCTGCGAAGAAAAGTATAGCTACGATAAATCTGTAGAGAAACCTTTAGTTTTGGACGTATTTTGGAAAACCAGACAAGGGAAAAAGGCATTTAATTTAAGCTCTTTTATAGTACTTGTCTACTTTGTCTTGTGTGTACTCTTCCTACTAATAACACTTGTGTTCACTGTTGGCCACAATATTTACTTTTGCTGTATTTATTTTCTTTCCAAGCTTGCTAACAACTGTAAATATATGACTTGTCTCATGGTTAGCAACGTTTCAGGAACTATTGTACCAATTAGATGATGTGCAAGTATTCAGAAATGGGAGTTTGCATCAGTGCAGTTTGGTGATAGTGCTCTCCATTTATCCTATCACACCTCCTACTGAATAAAAAAACCCAAAAGTCTAGGATTTGTGCTAACTAGGGGCCCTGTGGGATGTAAAGTCCTGAATTTGTCCAGTTCTTGAAGCTGCCACATTTACGGCTGCATAATAATTTCACTTGCTTCACAGCCTCCTTACTTCTCTTAGGTTTCTAGTGCGGCTGTGGTTCCACTGGCCTTGTACATTCCTAATCCTTCAACACACATGTTGCATCTCCTATAGACCAGTGCCATGCATACCCCAAATCAATTTTGTAGTTTTATTGCACAATTCTGCAAGAAATTGTCATGTTGGAAGTCTTTTATTGTTTGGAGGCAAGATGAATTATCCCAGTTGGGTGTGTAATGACTTTTGATTTTTTTTTTTCTAAAAAGAAAACTGAATATGCCCTAAATCAATATGGTTACTTCCATGCCATCTTGATGATGGGATGACGGGCCACATTCTTCACTAATATTCAATGTAAAGGGAAACCATTTGACTTTTTCAGGCTTTAGTACAACTTCACTGTGTTTTTGATAATGTTTCAGAAGGACTATGATTATCGTGTTTCCCTGTAGCCTTCATGTTTCAGTATTTTTTAATTTCTGGTGTTTTAAGACACTTCACAAATAACTGGTTTGCTTCAAAAGTATCTACTTCTGTGAAAAAAAACTTACTAAGGGAGTAATAGTTCAGACATACCCTAGCAACTCAGGAACATAACGTCTTTTATTTGTGGTTTTGCTGTAGTAGAGGAAAGCCACGAAATGTAACGGAGAGGGGGAAGATAGATTATTGGTAGTGAGCCTATATGCTAAACTTAAAATTTGAGGTACTAAATTCAGCATTTAGTAGGTTGCTAGATGACTGTGACTGTGCATATTTGCGTAATAAAGTAACCCTCTTTCCTTTAACAGGGAAACATACAGTATCTGTATGACTCCTTAACAGTTACCTTTCCCAATACTATTGGGAGAAAACATACTTGTCAAGATCCTTGTGTAGTAGGCATTGATTCTTTGACAGCATTGTATAAATTGTATAAATTTTATCTTTGTAGATGGATTTGAGATATGCCTTAAGCAACTGAGTATGTACTTGAAATATAGGAAGTCCACATTAAACTAATTACAGCTACTGAGGGTTCATCTTTATCATTTTCTTATGATTGAGTGTTGATTTTAAACCTCGAGGTTTCTTCTTTTATCACACAGTGTACAACCAACCTGTCTTTAAATTGTAAGCATGCAATTGTTAACTTTTTTAAGATTCAAGAATAGTTTGGAAATGCAACAATTGGTATTGTAAAGCTCTGGTTTATGGTTAATTGAGTAATCCTTTATTACCTAGTGCCAGCTAGCTAGGCTTTTATGGAGCTGTATTTAAATTAGCACACTTTCTACTGCCAGTAGAACTGTGTAAATTAAGCCAATGCCCATTTTCTGTGGCAGCTGTGGCAGTCACTTTGTTTCCAGTGTTCCTGTCATGAAAAATATGCTTGCTGCTGTTAATAAAATATTAAATGCATCAAGCAGCAGTAGTCATTTACATGTTCCTTAAAGTTCAGTTAATGTTATGTTGTTGCATAGGTGGTAACAAACTTTCATACAGCCAATGATCTAAACATAGTAAACAGCATATGATTTATGGATTTAATTTACTTTATAACTGTTCATCATTGCAGCTAACTTATTTTAAAATAATTGGTTGTAAAAGTTTAATCTTAACAACTCAGGGCGATCAATAATTAATTTCCAATATGACCTAGCAGTATGTTTTATTAAAATATGGCAGTATACTTATAAAAGTGCAATGAATAGTCTGTGATTAACATGGAACTTCAGTAACTTTGCCATTTGATAAAGGTTACTTGCAAATGATGATGAATAGCATCTTTAAGCGTAAATATTAGAACTCTAGTGTCTACCCCTGTTTGATGTGACCCTGGTGTGGGTAAGGTATCTACAACTGGGGCTGGAAACAAATTTGTGCAGTAGTCATTTGCACGCTTCTTGCGGCTCACGTTCCCATGTCCTATTTTAAACATACAAGTGCTGTGATCTTTCACTGAAGGAGCAAAGAAATCAGCAATGTTTTTCATGAGTTCTGGCACTAGTATATAGAAATAATTTGAAATTGCATTAGTCCTTATTTTGAACTGCTGCTTTTTGGTGTAAATGTGCATATTTGTGTGCAGATTATTTAAAAACGTGTTTGTTTTTCAACAGAAAGCAGTAGGAATAAGATCTAAAACCAATGAACAGAAGTCTTAAAATATGCCATTTAAGAGCACGTAATTACATTAGGAAAATAAAAGGTGTTGAAAAGAAGAAAAAAAAATCTGTGTTAGTAGTTGTGTGCCTGATCTCCAGTAAATATATGGATCAAAATGAAATGGGGCTCTGATTAAGAACAGTTGTTGGAAGATTATAACTTCCTCACCCTCAGATGCTGGCTTGTTAACCTGCAATTGCCTGTTGTCTTAGGACGTCTTTTGGTGCAAAATTCCACTTTTGTAGCATGTAATGGAAAAGATGACCATGGTTCCACATAGCTGTAGAATGCTTTAGATGGTTTTCTTAGTGAGATAGTTCAGAAAAATAATTAATTTTTATCCATGGGAGAAGATAGAGGAATTCATTCTGTATTTGTGTTTATCTAATTTGCATTTGGAATTTTTACTTTTCAGGAAGTCTTTAATTGGCAGGTAAATAAGCATTTAAAATGTTAGCTTTCTCCTCTTGTACTACATATTTTGTAATAGGAATGCTGATATAGCTAAAACCTTCTGACTCCCAAAGGGAGCCATTTATTCCTCGCCCCCCCCCCCCCCCACTTCTGATGCTCATGTAACTTCTGTCTCTGATAATTGGGTCATAATCAGGCTGCAGTGATAAGCAGCGTAACTCCTTTCCACTCTGATACATTGCTGACTTTATACTTGATTTGATATTTCTTAAAAATATCTTGAAGGAAGGAGGGAAGTGAGAAGGCATCCTTTAACTGTAGATACTTCCTCTTCCCCTTACCCCCGAACCATCAGCTACTAGGTTATAACATCAAAGTCAGATACAGATACATCCACAGTCTTGTACAAGTCAAGGCAAACAGGTAGTTGACTGACATTTTTCATGTAGTTAAATGATAGTTGTACCAGACAACTTTTTAAAGTTTATGTACTTCCATCTAAAAGAGGTTCAAAACAGTAAATAAAACAGATTATGTAACATCTTCTGAGAAACTCCTGCATTTCCTGCGTGGCTTTGATGATGTTTCAAGGGCCATTATTTTGCAACTTCATTGAACTTGATGTTTATCCACAGGTTAGTCTTTTTAAATGAAGATGATATTGCAGGGCTTGTGTCTGTTTTAAGAAAAAGCAATACGGTCAGAAAGTAGCAACAAGATATATTTTTCTTCCCTTGATGATCGTCAGATGACTCTGTATCCCTGGTCTCAGGAGAAGAGGATTATTTGGAGCTGGAATAATTCTAGACATACTGATCCAGAATTTTCATTCCATAATGATGCGCTTATTTGCCATGTCTTTATTTGCTTTTGCATCTTTAGTCTTTTGGAAACCCTTAAAAATGACCTGCAAGTTCTCTTGTTATAGACACATAGATTTCAAATGCGCCTGTTTTCTGTGTGTTTGAACAGGAACAATTGATGACCAGAGGTAGCGTTTAGAATTTCTTACAGGATGGGAATAGTATAGAGGGGTCTGGATGTTAAAATACGGTATCATACAGAGTGACTATGGAAGAGTTTTGAGTAGTGGCGTGGTTTGCCTTTCTCTAGTAAGGGACAAGATGCTGCAATGGGGAAAGTGCAATATTGGACTGTTGAATGAAAGAGATGGGATGTCATTAAACTTACAGGTGATCTTAATGTATGGTGACATTTTTCTTCTTGGTTTGAAATTTCTACCTGCAAAATCAAGCCTACGGAGTCCTTTTTATGGAGTGGATTTAAATTCTCTTGACTCTGGGACTTGAAAGACTAATTTCTCCTGTAAAATAGGGACCTCTATTGGAAAAGCTAGGAATATCAACCAAATGGTTTACCTTA